CCGCTTAAACGTCCTAATTCACTATACACACACTACACGGATTAATTAATGCAATTCAAACACTAAATAGAAGCTAAATTCAATCGAAATCATGGGTTCCAATGACAACCTAACGGGATGCCTGACTCACCGTGTAAGGGTGAGTAATATGCTCCCTTATGATTCTGATTCTCAAACCCAAAAATACTGGGTTTCGTACTCGAGAAAGACTCTTCGGTTTCCCGAGTGGTGGGTGACTAGTCGAGCTCGTGCGGCTAGCCCGACACCGACCGCCCGCCTCCGTCGCCCTAACAGCCAATCAATCACAAAAAAGCTTACTTGCGCCGACGTGGTGTGATTCGGCATCGGGTCCAACTCTGTATGGTCTTCTCGGCTACCCCCCGACTCTCCTTACTTGCTTGAGATTTGGATAATGGACTTCACACCTACAAACTGGTTAATGTGAAATAGAAAAAGGATTGAAGGAAAATAGAGATGAAAAGATGAAAAAGACAAAATTTTTACCTTGCTTCGGTTTTCACCGTCACACGGTGCTCCTTGGCCCGATTCCTTTCCTTCCTCCTTCTTTCAGCGTCAATTACGCACTCTTCTTCTCGTTCTCTCCCGATTATGACTCTTTCCTTTTTTTTTCCCTCTTCTTTAGTCGCCCTCTTCCTTTCCTCTTTTTCTCTCTTCCACTCAGCTCTCACTCCGTTTTGCTTCCTCTTGGCTCCCTCACTCAACAGCTCTCTCCTCATCTCTCTCTTTTTTTTCCAGCTTCCCTCGCCAATGAAGAAGAAACCTTAATCTTTTCCTTTATATATCTGTCTCTCTAGGCCGTTGGATCTCACAAGACTTAATCTGAATCGTTCAACCTTGATAAAACCTCAACTGTTGGATCCCTCAGACGGTTCGATCAGACCTGTCCATATCCTGATTCTTTTTGCCCCTTTCCACTTCCATATAATTATACTTTTACCCTCTTTTTTCTTATTTGTTTTTATTTAGATCATTGAAATTAAATAAAAATTTGAAAATTTAAAATTCAGTTCATTTAAACCCTAATCCCAATTTAATTATTTATTTACTTACTCTTTTTATTTTATTTAGGGACTGAATATTACATGGACGAATGCAATTATCGTCAATGGGATGAAAAAGATAATAACACATTTTTCACATAGAGCTTTTAGAGATTTATGCGTTATTATTTCATATTGAAATAGTACTAACCCAAGGCATTCATTCAATTAGAATGAAGGGATCTTAAACTAGTTTTCTAATATCTTCATCATCCCATCCTTCACTAGCATGAAACATAGCTATTATTAGAGGCTGGCTCACAATGGGTGCACGCTTCTATTTCTTTTATATCGATTGAGATTCCAAGAAAATAAAATGATAATATCTCTACAATAGTTAAAGATACAATACAAGTGGAAACTACTCATATGGTTGCACAAAAGGCTCTTTAATCTCTTTGTGATTCAATAATTTGTTAAGAGTCTAATTATATATATATATATATATATATATATATATATAAAATTGTAGGCACAATGAATAGAGGTAAAATGTGTTAGTCAAGTTTTAAAAATGAATTGTTGAAATTAATGTTTTGTCATTATTTTCTCGCCTACATTTTTTCATATAGATGAAAAGAGTTATTCTAAAAGAAAAAAAACATATTTTATTGATCAAAGAGATGATTTAATTATCATCATCAAAAGTACACACTTGAATTCATGTAAATAACTAAAAAAACTCTTAAACATAGTAGCATATACTTTATAAGTATTATAGTTACCAACTAAAAATTAACCAAAATATTAAATATAAAATGAAAATGGAGCATGCTTGTATGAAGAAGAGGTCATGATAACACCATTGTTCGAGCATAGTCCGGTCATCCATTTAGGAATCTACAAAGGTGAGGCAATAAGTCAGTAATATGTTGTCATATGTGGAATTAGCAAACATTTAAATATCAAACTCTATTAAGAAACAAAATCGTGTATATTAAAATAGGTATACTTGTGAAGTCACAACATATCAATTCATGAGTATCAGTAATCAACATTACAAATCCATTTTATTGGGGTTTTATAGAATAGGCAATAGAGATGAAGAGCATACAACTAAGTATTATCTAAGTTGGCATTTGAAATATCACTGCGACTAACATTTGAAAGAAATACAAGAGTCTGTTAGTAGCGTGGGGATTATGGTCTGTCATTTTATTGAGACTCTTAAAATAAGCAATCAAGATAAAGAGTATATAATAAAGCATCTTTTGAGTTCACATTTAGAATACACCCACCAACAATTTCCATGGAAATGCAAGGGTTACTATAAAAGATGCTATGAGATTATTGTAATGTATGTTTCATTTTCCATTGCCTTTATATTACTATACACTTTTTATTTATATATTCAGAATCACCTTATCATATGTGTCTTCTCAATTCCACCACAACTTGAAACAACTACAATAGAAATACAAGTAATGATATGTCCTTGCAGATCTAATCCAAGAGCATTTTGATTTGTCAGTTTTCTTTCTTTAACAATAGATTTAATGATTTAGTTTAGATACATACATGTAGGAGCTTATAATAAAAGATAATTTTATAGACAGAGTCATAAGTAATGCCAACTACCCTTTTAATTACTAACCCATACTCAATTAAGCTCTTAATTACAATTAAGAAATGATTAATCAAGATAGTTAACAAGTATTGACATTAGATGGCAGCGTAACCGGGAGGGAAAAAAAAAACAATTTCAATCTGTTTCTTTTTTATGTTAAAAAATTTTATAATTAAAAATTATCAAAGGGACAACCTAATTTGAAGTATACGTTATTCTATCAAAATAAATTAAAGATTATTCATTGTAATAATTTATTTTAATTCTATGAAGTGCATGTGTAACACTCAATTTTTTTTTTAATTTTATTTTGTTTTTATTTTTAATTTTCTATTGAAATTTTGTTTTATTTTATTTTATTTTAATAATTAATTCATAAGATTTTAATTTAATTTAATAGAAATAAAAATAATAATAATAATAAAATGAGATAAAATTATTTTTGGGATTTAATTGAAATTGATTTTGGAAAAAAGGGGTGAAAATTTGGATTTTGGGGGTATTTTTGAAAGGAAAATCGAAAATCGGAGGTTAAAACGTAATTTAAAAAAATAGCACCACATCAGCAGGCCCGGCCAACCAGAACACGCCGCGTGGCAGGGATGCTGACGCGGGAAGCCACGCGGGACGGAGACACGTGGGCGATCCGCGTGCGCGCGATCGGATGGCCCAGATCCGTTCCCGCGCGCACAGACGGCCTAGATCAAAAGCGCGCATGGACAACCCAGATCTCACGCGTGCGGACGGCCCAGATTTGATCACGCATAGACGGTCTAGATTTATTTTCAATTTAATCGCGATCGGACGGTCCAGATTAAATCATGATGGACGGCTCAGATTAAAAGGAGAAGGTTATAAATAATCGCATCCACACCCAACTCCAAACCTTAGCCGCCAGAACCCTCGCCGAAGAAGACGACCCAGCCACCGGAGGAACCGGCCG